AGAACCTGGTAATTTCATCCCACAAGAATAGTACTGTCTCTGGAACAGTATCAGCAAGGTGGCCTTTCAGCAATATACCTGGTATAGAGATTGTTGGCATCCACCAGCTTGCCTTCAAGATGGAGCACTGCCACCCAGTTTCATTTTTCATTTCTGCACCAGATACCCTGGCTCTAGATAAGCTAGCACAAATGTCCTTCCAGGCACTGGCTGACAGCCTCTGGAGTCTCCTGTACTGGAAAATTTGAGAGAAATCATCTCCAAACAACTTAATGTTGTGGCTCCCCCTGACAAGGTGCCATGCATGCACCACTGGTTCTGTAGATTAAAACTACTACTTTTCATGTTCTTCTCCAGAGAACAATTAGTTTTATCTTTTTGCTTAAACCCAGTTCTCACCTAGGGTAGTGTAGTTGGAATTCAGTGGACAGCAGAATACAGATAGGAGTACACTGGGGACCACAGATGAAGAGCAGGAGCCTTAAAACAAGTACCATCCTGGTCTACTGTAATGATTCTTCTTCTCTTCTGTGTCTACTAATCTTGGGTGCTCTGTTTTCCCTGCAGGTTCCCTACTCTTAAGAATATTTTTAGTGGTAACCTTTTTGAACCCTCCTCTTCTGAGGAATATAACTACCTCCAGCTCCTCCACTTGTAGACACTCTGGAAGGTAGGATCCAGGATCCAGAATGACCTGGATACAGTGAAGAAATTATTCAAAATCAATCAAATTAAATTCAACAAGGACACGTGTGAAGTCCTGCACTTGGATGGAATAATTGTATGCATTAATACACAGTGGGGAATGAGTAGCTAAGCTTCAGCACTATAGAGAAAGATCTGGGGGTTATTGTGGACCATGACCTGAATATGAGCAAACAGTGTGGTTTTATTATTAAAAAAAAATCCAGAATCATACTAGGTTGCATTAACAAGAAAGTCTATTGTGAATAAGGGATGTGATTCTTCCATACTTTTTGGTACTGCTGAGGCCTCACCTGGGCTACTGTGTCCAGTTTTTTGTCTCTGTGGGTGTTTATACATGTGCTCCAGGAGTGTGTGTGTGTGTGGCGGGGGGAGAGGTGCTGCTTTAATTAGAGCAGCTCCAAGAACCACTCTAATTAAAGTACCTGGAGTGTCTTGTGTATCAGTGTCCCCATGCTGAAAAATTTAGTTAAAGCACCCCTGCCACCATTTTTCAGCATGGGGATACTAATACGCAAGGTGCTAGAGTTTCTTGAAGCAAGGTAATTACCACACTCCAGCAGACTTGATTAATTGAGTCTGCTCCAACACACGGTAATTACAGCGCATTAGAGCAGCCTCACTGCATGTGTATAGGTGCCCTGTGTTTCAAGGAAGATTTAGGCTGATTAGAAAGAGCCCATTAGAGGGCCACAAACATGATCAGGGGCCTGGGAGATATGATTTAAATGGAAAGTCTGAAAAACTTTTAGTCTTGAGAAGACTGAATGGGGGATCTAAGAACAGTCTTTAAATACCTGGAGGAAGATTACAAAGATGATGGAGATAGACTTTTCTGACTCTAGGGGATAGGACTAGGAACAATGGCCTTCAACAGCAGCAGAGAAAATTTGGATTGGACATTAGTAAGAACTTTCTGACTATGGGCGTGGTTTAACATTGAAAAGATTACCTAGCTAAGTTGTGCAATCACCATCTCTGGAAAATTTCAAGAGAAGTTTAGACAGACACTTGAATGGGATAGCTGAGCCAGGGGGCTAGACTAGATGGCTTTGTAAGGTCACTTCTGACCCTACTTTCCAGTGATCCTGTGAACATTCTTATCTGCATTTTTTAGAGAGGGAAGCATACTACAGAAGGGACAAAGAGGTTTCTTTGAGTTCAGAACATCTTCAGTATTCCTTCTGAAAAGGATCCAAAGGGAATGTATCTTTTTAATCATGGGGTCTACAAATAAAAAAAGGCTAACTATTAAGTTGTGCCGCTAAAATATGCCTCCCTCCTCTGGAATGGACTTTCAGGTATCATAGCAAAGTGATGCAAGGATCAGCTGTAGAAACTGAATAGACTCACATTGGAGGAGATTCAATGATTCGGCTGTAAACACAGCTTTATATGTTTTTTCTACATACCTCGAGGTACCAAGTGCAGCTCGTGAACACTGAGATGGTGAGGCAGATGAGGCATTCCCTGCATGCTTGGCTGTGGACCCGGAAGTGAACTAGAAATACTTCTGGTCCACTTCCAGGTCTACTGCAGAGTGCATGCCCCCCCCGCCCCGCCTCTCACCTCAGCAACTGGTGCCTCCTGAGTCTGGGGGGGCACCCAGGGTCTCCCCATGGCCAATCACTGGGCCAGTACCAGCCCATTTCTGGGTCCACCACTGAGTACTTCCAGTCTACTTATGGGTCCAATGTCAAGCGTGTGGGGCACCCCCCCCCACCGTGCTTCTGTGGGACGCTCCATCCGCCCCACAATTTCAGCATTCATGAGCCATGTTTGGTACCTTGAGGCATGTAGAAAAAAACATATTAAGCTGTGTCTATGGCCGAATCACTGATTCTCCAAATCAGAATCTTATCTTCAGATTCAGCTAAATCAAATTGGGACAGTGATCTGAATCAGCAAATTGAATCACTGTCCCCCAAATTGGGCTGAATCTGAATCAAATACTGCCCACTTTGCACACCCCTAGTATCCATTTTGCTTTAATGTTTACTATCTCCTCCCCACTTCTCTTTTCCACAAAAGACATTTAGAATAGAAATAGACTCCATAGAACAGAGCCATGAAATAAGGGGTTTCTATTTCCATTACTTTCAAATTCTAAAGAGAAAAGGGGGGATTCCAGAACATGCTGGTCAACCCTATTAATCAGAGCCCCCATCTATTGGTTTCCTGCTGGCAGAGGAACTGAGTGGTAGTTGAAGACAACACATCACTTATTTTTTAGTTCATGGAGTTTACATGTCATGGATACTGACCTGGGCACAACACACACTATTATTATTGATATGGGTATCATTATTGAAAAAATCCCTTTTCATATGTAGAAAGCATCCATCCCAATGGAATGAAGTGAATTCCAGCAAGAGTGGAATATGTCTAGATAGCACACATCAAATAACCAGTTATCAAAAGGTGAATGACTGCCTTTATATCTCTTCAGCTTTTCTAGTAGCTTGGGCTAGGGACAGACATGGCACATAAAGCAGTTTAAGTGATCAGAAACTGGTTCAGAACTGTCAGAGAACAGACATTCGGTGCACATAAACCAGCCCTAAAATGGCTGAAACCAGTTTGATATAACCCTGGCTGAATGTAGTATTAGACTTAACTGATTTAGGTCAAACTGGTTTATGCAATGTCTGTGCCAGACACCTTCCTGATTTAAGTTAAATCAGATTCCCCCAGCATCTCAGCATGCATTCTGGGCTGGGCAGGGCTCTCTGCTCCACAGCAGAGCTGGCTTTTCCCCTCTGCTCCCTAGCTGGAGTTCCAGCAGAGACTTGCAGGCACAGCAGAGTCCACCTGGCTTCCCCATGCCCCACTCCCCTCCCTCACCACTCGCTGCTTAAGCAGAGATCCCTTACTCTCTCCCCCAGCACTGACCATAGCCAGCATTTGGCATGCTAGCTAATGCTGTGTAAGGCAGATAGGACAGTGTCTGCTTAGGGCTTGTTGGAGCTAATTAATAGCTTAGCTGGAAATGTCCCTCTATTCCTTCCTTTGGAAAAAGCTGTTTAAGAAGAGCTTGAACTAATGAGTGAGGTTTGTTTTCTGATGGGGTGCTAAATGTTGATGACAGAGCTGATAAATGCTCTGTTATCAAGGTGGGGGGGTCCCTAATTAGAGTGTCCTGCCATCCCCTTCAGCTCAGCCCTGTAGAAGAGAGGAAGGGCTGCTTTTGCACCCTCCAGCTTCTAACATGAGTCACTGCAGGCATGTGCTGGCATTTTTTCAGTCCAGAGGGGATTTCTGTGCAGTTGCAAAGTGATTTAGCCCAGGCAGGTTAGACTAACCTGCAAAGATTGAATCAATCCAGGATCAGGCTTTTTGAATGTCTGTCCCTAGCCTTGATATATAACCTTAAACATTCTCTATGTTCTCCCCCACTTGTAATGTAAAAAGTAAGTAGCATAGGAATTTGGTATTCATTAATCTTTGGAAAGTATTTTGTAAAGCCTCAAAGAGAAGTCTCCATTATAATGCAACATGTCTCCCTGTCACGGTCCCTTTTTGTGGGGGGGAGGGAGGTTGAACATAGCATTATGAGTTCTGCTTTCTCAGCTTGTAGTGACAACCATTTAAAATCTTCATTAGCCATTCATATTTTTCTATTATTGTCCAGTTGTGAAAACAATTATTATTGTCCAGGCATAACTGGGCAGCTTTGAGCCTTGGACACAGCAGTTCGCAGAGCAGCAGCAGCTGTGCTGCTGGCAGCAGTGTGGCTCCTAAGAGAAAAGTGGTGCTGGCTACTATTTTTGTACCCTTACTAAATCAGTGCCTGAGGCTACTGCTCACCTTGCCCTCCCCCCACTCCCCCCGCACTTAGTTTTGCTACTGCCAATAGGGAAGTACTTACTAGCACAAGTAGTCACATTTAATTCAGTAGAACAACTCATGTGAGTAACTAATCACTCAGAAAAGTAAAGTTCTCCATTTATGCCTTTATTCTTTTGCCTGTGTTTCAGTTCATTTTTATGGTTTATATTATCTCTAACAAGATAAGTTATGAGAACAAGAGCATTACAAAGTAGTAAACTTTCATGATAAAACGAATTCTTCTTCCAAAAATTGCATAGCATCTCTCTCTCTGTCTCTGGTCTAAATGTCAGGAGCAGTGATAGCTTAAAATTAATCTTGTTTTATAACCTACTGTTACAAATCATGAACAGTTAAAAATTATTGCATTTCTCATGTTTTTTATATTACTGTGATATTGTGGTTCTGAAAGATTTCACTACCTGGTTTTATATCTGTGATGCTTTATGCTTAATCTTTTCCTCTAGGTTAACAGGAAGTTTTGTACCAGATTTGATTGTGAGCATGAGCAGTCAAATGTGGTTGCACCTTCAAACGGATGAAAGCGTGGGCTCAATTGGCTTCAAGGTTAACTACAAAGGTAACAATAAGCTATGGAGATGCATTTAGCAGTTCATCAATGTAAGGCAATCATTATAATTCATTTTATGCTCCCCATTTCTTATTCTGTTACTTTAAAAGGAATTCAGAGAAGCAAGAGTATGAAAGTTGTTTTGATTAAGGGATAATACTGAAAATTACATGCAGGTGTTCATTAGGCCGCGAACCTGCATGGTACTGCAAGGTGGATTCCTGTGCCCTCATGGAGCCCGCTAAATATGTGTGTTTATAAGAATTACATCCTTAGAATATAATTTAAATGTAGACTTCTTATTATTTCTTGCATGTTTTATGTAATATCAAAATAATGTGGATTTTTAAAATCCAGGCTCTTAATACAGGCAACTGCATTTTACTTTCATTTTGAAAATTAACCCTTCCAACATTTATGTAGAGACACAGTCATTTTTTTTTTAAATAAATATAAATGTGAATGTCTAGAGGCCATATTCAAAATCAGAGCTCACACAATTTCTGCCCTCAAATGATCTATGCTAGCTCTTCCAATTATAGGGCCTCCATAAGGATATCTCATGTTAAAAGGGGGTCAGCTCTTCATAAGGTTAGAGCTGAACATATACTGAGAGGAGTGGGAAAATGGTTTTTGTAAATATGCAAAAAATAAAATAAAATATGAATTCCATTCACAATGTTTCAGAGGCAATTTGTGAATGCAACAAACTTTGAACTGCAGGTAAGTCTGAGATATGACCTTGAAAAAGTTTGCATAGCAGAAAGTCAATTTCATTACTTAAAGGATTACTTTCTAGTAGAATGAATGTTGTTGTAAACAATAGTTTATTTGCATTTACTACCTTACTATGATACCAGTTTTATGCATGTGGTACTTTTATTCTCTCATAGGAACAATAATTCTTCAAATACTAAAATTAATGGTATGTGTGTTGGTAAAAGAGGCAGCACAAAAGATGAATATATTTACATTCATTTCCATGAACTTCTTTTTTTGTGTGTATTTAAAAACCTACTTACATACACCACCTAAATTTTTCTGTCTTTTCACATTGCTATTTTTCCTAACCTTATCGCATGATGTTTGATTGCCTATCTGTCTGATGGGTATTTTATTTAATCTGAAAACTGGAGTTTGATTTTGTTATTTCTGTGGTCCTTGAAAGGGCTTATTTATTCACTGGAGATGCCAAACATCTAGCCAGTATCCAATAAATAAACAGTTTTGTGCCAAGCCCTTTCTGGTAAAGATGGTTGACTGTCAACACAGAATCCAACTGGAAAGGATTTTAGATAAGAAACTGGCTTGCAAGTTAAAGCTGTCACTAAAGCTTTGGAATTAGTATATAGCAACTGAAAAATATACACATTTATCTGATATAGGACAAAGAATAAATGTGGAAACCATTTCTGCACAGGTGCAGGAAGTAGAAACTTAGACAGCTGAATTAGAAAATTGTGAATCCTGGCACATTTTGATTGCTTCATTTAAAGTTGGTGCATAGTAATAGAATGAATAGTTTCACTAAGACTAAGTT